TACATACATACATACATACATACATACATACATATATATATATACATACATACAATCTTCGATTAAACAATATCGGATGAGATAAAATATTAGGTGGTTCATCTGTGCGTCTCTCTCTCACGTCTCAATTTTTGTTATTTCTCGCAAACCGCGATATTTATGCACAAGATAATGAATCTGATGTTCAGTTGGCAACTTACGGGCGTATTTCAACATTAATCCTAACTCCTCGATGATTTTTTTATCACGCTCGGCCCATTCGATAACCGGATCGATTAAAATCGCTTCCTTATCGTTGATATCGGCCAGCAGATATGTGTACGTGCTGGATACTGGATCAAAAAACTGGAAATTTAAACAATTAATTGTTTTGTAACGTAATATGTATAAAATTAATTTATAATAACTTATTGTTAGTTTTGATTAGTTTGCAATATAATATTCTCGATTACATTATAATTGCAAACAAAATTAAACATATGCATGCATTAAAGAAAAGCTGATTAATTAAGAGAGAGTAAACATGATAAAATAGAGATGATGCAAAACAAGATAATGCGAATCTATTTCCAACATCTTTACATACATAATATTTACACACAGATATAATATAAAATATAATATTTGCACATCCGTTTCGATTCTAAACATATTCAAGTGGAAATATAACAAATAAGTCAGTCAGCTTAAACATATATCTTCGCATTCGATAATTTTTAATTGCGATTAATATATTTCGAATCTTATCACGTGTGAAATTTTTTCAATTTCAAGCTCGTACAAGAAACGGAAAATATGTTTTTTTCGGCTGCGCAAAACCATTTCCATGAAATATATGTATAATAAAACATTTTTGTGTTTTTCCACGATGTTAACATGCAGCATTCACTAATCCTGTTAGTACTGACCCGTTTTTTTCGGATATAATTCGGATATATAATAATTTTTTTTATTGAATTTCATTTATGTTTTTACTCAATCCTAACTTGGAGCTCAACAAAATGCGCTTAGCTGAGCATAAACCGAATAACAACGAAAATATAATAGCGTAATGTTTTTTTTATAATATTGTGTAATAATTTTTTTATTAAACTAATATGCAATTATAAATATTGATTAACGAAGCAAATGTGAATTAATTTTATTTGGCAATTTTCAAATAGATAGTCTTTACATTTATTGCAAATTATTATTTTAATGTTCAATTTTGTTAGAATATAACGTTCATCTGTGATATATATATTAAAGCTACAAGAACAATGATAAATATTTCGCATTTCATGTCGAGATAAAACAAGTCCAAATTTTTGACAGATAAATTAAATTTCCGCTCAAACATTAGTTAAAATGGTAAACGGAACAACGTTTATTTATATTTGTCGAAACAGAGTACTACGAAAGCTACACAGCTCAAAGGCTATTGTATTAAACTCATTGCAATAATAGTATTGAGCTGAAAAATAAATGTAACTTGATGTGTAACACATCGAATAGCCAATCAAAATAAATTTATTCGAGTTATATAACATTTTTATTTAAAAAAATCTATTCCAAATTTGTCAAATCATTCAATTTTCAAGTTTTTTTTCTGACATCTATATTCAAATGTAAAATATTAACTCTTCTATCTGGTTGCATTTTTATATATACTTCTACAAACCCTTCTTTACTCCTTTATCCCTCGAAATCCTGAAATCGACCTGCTTTGTTTTACATGCAGCAGATATAGCTAAAAAGAACAGACCTTAGATGTGCTCCTTTTAGTAAAACTTTTCCGTATTTTCCTACGTTTTCTTTTTTTTTCGAAATAACAAATGTATATTCCTTCCATTTTAAATGTAGTAAACGTAAAAAAATGCAGCTAAAAGTAGCAGACTTTAGATCTGTGCTTTTCAACACTCATGTAATATTCTTTTTTACTTTCTTGTTTACTTCCTTTTTTATTCCTTCTAAATTATCAACACAAAGTTATGAAAATTATTATACTACCTCATAGAACATTAACTATCTTATAGGTTATTTGCTGTGTTCTTTCCGCGATCAAAATCACTCTGTAGAAAAATATTGCGAAAGTTGGAGCAAGAAAGGGCTGCAATATGCATCGATTGACGAAGAAAACCAAATACCAAATTGTTATTCTTCTCTAGTTTCTCTAGTTTAACAACTTTCATATTTGCGTACAAGTATTTTACTTTAAATAATTGATCACAGAAAAAAAAATGTGAATCACTTCCATATTGTCGGATCGCAATACGCCGCGTCCGAATGAGTGCGAATGGTCATCCATTAGATGACGTTACGAGCAGCCGCCGCGGCGTATCGCGTCCCGGCGCAGGCGTGCGCGGGCCGTCCTTTGGGCAAATTACCTGGCGAAACAGAAAGTCCTTCGAAAAGGGCACGCGCTCTGTCAGAACGTCGATCATGGCGTAATTGTTGCGCGTCCCAACTCTCCGCACAACTATCGGCGAGACTATGCGACGGAGATTGCGAATCATGTTGTCTTATATTGCAGCTGCACACCTTACGTCGCGCACCGTCGCGCACTGACACAACGAAAAAAATGATGATGACAATACGAAATACTGTAAACCCGCACTATATATATATTACGAAACATTATGCAACATGTATCTGAAGCAGAGATAAAGTTATCTCGCGCATAGGATACATAACCTTCTTGTAAACTATATCCATTTCTTGCATCATGACACGATAACTACTGATTGAATTACAAAACATTTCTGTCAATGAGCTTGAGAATCGCTTCAGACTTCAGACGTCGTCGTTGAATGATAAGTACGTAATCTTCACATAGATGTCGCATTTTGAGGTGGAGGTTGTCCATCTTGAGACACGTAATTTATGACTGCTTCCTGTCGAGCCATTTTACAAGTCTTTACGGTTTGCCGCCATCTTGGCTTTGCTCTTTCCGGCTAGCATTCTTGCAAAGGTGCGTGGTGTTGACAGTATTGTAGCAAATTAAGTTGTTTTTAGTAAACGAAGTACGAGAATTTATGTCGAAATATATGCGGTAGATTTAGTGGCTTCTATAATTTATGTCAATTGTCAAAATTTTTAATTTAAAGTAATATTGTTATGTTAATTCGTGTACATCACCCATGTGGCTTGTGTACGTTGTTTTACGTTGTTAGCTACTTTGTTAAATCTGATTTTCTTTCTAGATGCCGTCTGTAACACTGAAGGACGTTGATCAACACAAATTCGTGAAGGCCTTTGCTGCCTTCCTGAAAAAGTGAGTACGAAATGTACAAGAGCGAGAGAATCTAACCTTAAAATCTCCCACACGTTGCAACACTTAAAATGTCACGATATATTGTTATTTCAATTCTTGCTACGCTTATTTCTTTGATTTCTTTCTAAATATTGTTTTTTTATATGTACTTTGTTACTTTATTGTTTATAAGAAGTTTCATCTTATACAGACTGTGTTTATATGATTACGTGTACCAAAAATGTGCACTACTGTTATAAAAAATGTTTCATAATTCTATATTATGCTCTCTTGGCATATTTTAGAACTGGCAAAATGCGTGTGCCAGAATGGGTGGACATTGTAAAGTCAGCCAGATTTAAGGAACTTGCGCCGTACGATCCTGATTGGTATTACATTCGTTGTGCTGCTTTGGTGCGTCACATCTACATTCGTAGCCCAATTGGAGTCGGTGCAGTCACCAAGATCTTTGGTGGACGCAAACGCAATGGCACTCATCCCAGCCACTTTTGCCGATCTGCGGGTGGTGTCGCACGCAAAGCACTTCAGAGCTTGGAGCAACTAAAACTCATCGAGAAAGCACCTGTTGGTGGACGGAAACTGACCAGCCAAGGACGTAGAGATTTAGATCGTATTGCTGCACAAGTTAAAGCTAAGAGCAAAAAACAACTTAAGCTTCAAGAGACGATTGTAATTTAATATTCTTTTATGTTTCTTTAATAAAATTAAAAACATATAAATCTCTAAAATTCTGGTATTTTATTGTATCCAACTGTGATTTTATCGCTATAATTACATTTATTGAATGTTTACTGAAAACTGTCGAATATAATTATTATATAAGCTTATATAAGTATTATTATATTTATGTACTTGTTATTTTTTTTTAAAAGACATTTGTTTTTATTAATTGATAATATTTAAGATATTATCTTCACCTTGTGACTATATCAATATTCATCTAACTACATTAAGAAATTGATATTACAAATTCTCACTTTTTAAATTTCCCGCTTTTTATGTCATCGCCATCCAACGTCATTCGTTTTTATCCTCGATCTAGAAATACTTTATTTCATGGCGAACGATGATTGGTTGTCCGCACGTTGGCAGCGCCGCCTTAGTGCAACTTTGGTCGCGGTTGTGATCGTCTTGGCAGTATTCAGCGGCGGTAGTTTGTGCGCGATTAGGTGCGAGATTGGAGTGTGAAGGAGCATCTCGCGGACGCAGCTGCGTACGCGCGCGCGCGTATGCTCGCTCAGTGCGCTCGTGTATTTATACGTGTTTGTGTACGTAGTGAACGTTTGTGTGTCGGTCCCGTCCGTTCGCGCGCATGCACGTATGCGTGGTGACCCGCGCTCTCCGTCGAGAAAGAGAGCTAGCTGCTGCTGCTACTGCTATGCGTCCTCGCGACGGCTGGTGGGTCGCCGCGGCTATGTCGCGAAAATAATCACGCCGGTCTCGCGAGTGTCTCTGCGCGAACACGCTGAGGTGGTGCCTGTCGGACACGCTGCGCGAATCTGCCGTCTGTCCTTCCGTCTCACTTTCTCGCTCCCTTGTCATTCACTGCTTTCTCCGTCTTCCTCGCGCATTCTCTCTTTTCCGCGTGCTACACGCACCGTCTTTCTCGCTCTCTGTCACCGTCGCACCGGGACGACGTTTGTACCGTGCGTCACGGGAAACGGCGTATGCGGATAGGAGAGGCGGGTGTTCCGCGGAATTTTATGGTGAGAGACGACGAATGAAGTGAGCGGTGTCCGCGGAGTTGTGAAGTGCCGCCG